AGTAAGTCATTGAATCCCTACCAGCTCCAGGCGTGCTGCTGAGCAGCTGACCATATGTTTTAACCTTCATGTGGACAGCAGCAAGGAAAGAGATAAATAGTCCTTCAGGGATCAATATACTATCACATGATCACCATTCCTGCCAAAGATCATCTGTCATCTTTGGCATGCATTTGGTCATGGCCACAGAGTTTGTGCCAAGACCCTCTTTCTAAATGAGGCTCAGAGATCCTCCTGAGGGTCATTCATTTCTCCGAGCCCACCAGGCCGCCACATGCTGCATGTTAGCATCACTTTAATCAACTCTACCACAGTGAGGCAGCCCACTCGGAGTGACAGTCAACACAGTGGCGGCGGTCCCTGCAGAGAGCACCAGGCCTGGACAGAGAATCAGAGATGACCTCGCTGTATTATTTCCTTTGAGTTACTGCCCAGGACCACGGTGTAAAAGCCACTGGGTGGGAATGCGCCTCGAGTTATGATCAAGAAGGGCCATCACACACCATCAACATCCTGCTTTATGGCTGTATTTATCACCATTATATACTGCTGTCCTGGGTCACCACTGTGCTCAGCTGATACTGTATAATGGAAAAGAAAACTCTGTGTTTACTTGTGTTTTCTCCAGATTCCTTCCCCTTATCAGAGAGGAGAACATGGGGTACAGGTAAGTATAAATAAATTTAATTACGGTCTACATTAAATGTAGGAATAAATCACTTCATTCATAAATTTAACACTGTCTCATAGTGACAAATAGTGAGCCTGCTATAAAATTCAACAGAACAGAGTACAGACTTCGTCTTGTAGCACTGGAGCAGAGACAAATTTAAAACATGTAGATCTTGTGGCAGAGCGTGAATGCAGGTGATCTTAGTTAATCTGATGTCTGTGCTAATGCTCAAATAATAATTAGTTGATTAATTGATAAGCAAATGACAAAGAGAAACAATCAAAGCATTGTTTTCAAAAGCAATTTTAAAACGTAATTTTCAGCTTTGGTAACTCGTCATCAGCAAGGCTGAGAAATGAAGCCAGTACCAAAGTGCCATAAACTGCAGTTCCTTGAATGGCCAATAGAGGCTGGCTCCAGAAGCCCATAGACCCACATGTTAAAGTGCCCAGCATTACAGCAGAAATTAACATGTTTAGAGCCTGATAAAAAAAAAAAAACGGTTTTGGTCTCTACAGCTAATTTCAACAATTATGACAACTGCACGGGGAGGGGCGGGGCTTAATTTTTGTATAACTCACCTGTTTACATTTGTTAAAGGACAACTTTGGAATTTTTCAACCTGGACCCTACTTCAGGTATTCACAATCTCAGCCACTCTGTGTCAAACATAACCACTTTTAACGGACATACAATGACAGCGCAACAGGCTGTAATAGAAGCACCTGGGGCAATTGACCATCGTCACTGTATATGTCCTTTAAAAGTGGTTATTTCCAACACAAAGTGGCTCAGATTGTAAGTGTCTGAAGTGTCTCTTTACCTTTCACTTGACCCGGTGTGTTTGTTATTGCCTCCTTAAGCAGGTGTCTTTCTGAAATATCACGAGATGTCACGAGATGGCCGCTGCCAGCTACCTCGATACTGGATACTGGATACTCAAAAATTGCTGTTCACATCAGTCTCTGATCAATTTACATGTGAAAACAGAGCCCAGGTTGAAAAATGCCATAGCTATCCTTTAAAGCTTAAAGTTATGCATTATCGAGGGCAGGGCAACTTGAGTGACAGGCTGTCTGCGAGGCATGGCCCCAGTGTATACAGCTCCACCCTCACACCCAAAAATGGTCACTTCTGGCTCCAAAAAAACAGGATGGCAAATTCGAACCTTCATAACCAGAGTCCACAAACCAATGAGTGACATCAAAGTAGCTACATCCATTATCTTATACAGTTCACGGTCATATGGTTTTGATATTTCATTCACTTAAAAAGGGCACTTTATAAAAAAAATCTGTAGCTTTGTGAATAAGAACCCAGTCAGTGCGACCTGTTGGCCCCTCCGCCGCACATCAATAAAGAAACGTGAACCTCTGGATGGCCCAGATGAAAAGATCCTGCTAACAAGCAGCGCCTCAGTGCTGTGACAGAAGAGCAGAGATCAATGACATACGTAGCCTGTGTGTCATCACAGAGCAGCGGCTCTGAAGAGACTGGGGAGACACTGAAGCACTGGAGCACCACATAATTGGGGCCCACGTTGTAGACACAGAGACATTAGAAAAAGACTGCTATTCCTCAAAGAAGTGCTGTATGTCAGGCGTTTGTTAGCTAGCGTAGAGGAAGCTCAGTGACTTTACGTTGACTTATACTGGCAGGAAGTCTGACTTTCCCAGTATATGATACGGCTGTCAAACAAGTCTGATGGATTCTTTAAAAGAGCTACCAGTACAATAAATCTTCTGAATAATGAAGTGTGTGCTGTATACTGTTATGTGTTTGCCTGTGTGTGTGTGTGGCCTCCCTTTACCGTCGTGTCACAATGCAGGGATAAGCTTCTTTACTCCAGAGAATCACCCCTGCAGGTAAAGATTACCACACACAGCAGAGACAGAGAGGAAGAACAAGTGACGGAGGAACAGAGGGAGTGCGTTACCACACAAAGTATTTCAGACAAAAAAATCAATTTAGCGTGAGCCATGAGATCCTCTGTCTGCACAGACACGGTGACAAGCACCACTTGATGAAGCCAAAACAAGACCCCACATCAGATGCTCCTTTGTCACCCACTCATTCATCTTAAGTCAGCACATGATGGCATGACATGAAGGAACGTGAACACACACACACACACACACGAGAACACACAAAAAGTAAATGAAAGGAGCTACTTTGTGATTCTTGAGTTGTCAGAGTGAATACCTAGACTCAGTGGCTGAGAGCATCTGGCCAGTCTGTGTAAACAGGAAGCATAGTTTCCTTTAACAGCTACTGCTAAGTGCTCTTCAGTGCAGAACATAAACTGACTGCTGCTCTGCTCATCCAGCTCTCCTGACACTACATACAGGAAGGACGTCTCTACAGGTCTGCATACATGTAACCATTTCCTCCCTTCTCAGCTATCTCTTATATTTAATTTCCATCACTTTCATTTCCAATTGTTCACTTTTCACCAAATGCAGTATCTGCTCCTCTCTAGGTAAGTGCTTTTCCACTTCTACCGACATGCTTTTCCACAACTTGCAGAGAAGCTGTATGAACATTGTGCTTTTGAGTATGCAACCAAAGACAGTTATTGTACTACTAATAATATAAGCAACAGTTTAGTTGTTCCTATGGAAAAGAAGGAGGTGTACTATGCAGGATTGTTGGTTACTGTTTGCAGACACGCTGGGGTGACTGTGGCTCAGAGTTAGACGGAGTCCACTAAGCGGAAGATTGGCGATTTGATCCCTAGCTCCTCGAGTCTGCATGTCCAAGTATCCTTGGGCAAGATACTGAACCCCTATGGCTGTTCCATCGGTGAGCCAGTGTGTGTGAATGTTAGCTAAGTAGCAGGTGGCACCAGTGTATGACTGTGTGTGTGTGTGTGTAGTGTCAAAGCACTTTGAGTGGTTGGAAGACTAGAATGCAGTGCAGTCCATTTACCATTGCACTCACCAACAAATGCATAAGCCAGCCCCAGATTCACTCTTGTTTGGAGTATTGCTATATTTGTGTTGTTTTGTGTGCCTGCTGCTTGTGGTCTAACCCCTGATTGCTACCTTTATCTAAAGCCCTGACCTCACCTGAGAGCTGTGGGATACACACCCTTTAACATCCCAAGCACAGGAGATAAGAAGAAAAATAAGAAATTACGGACAGAGGGCAGAGTCTCTGCAGAAGAACACACCGCCACACATTTCAGTGGGTCGTACGTGATAACTGAGATGGATTGCTTCTGTATAAGCACTGTTTTTTTAGGGAAATCCTGCACGGTATATTTTTAACTAAACACACTTAAAGGTCCAGTGTGTAGGATTTAGTGGGATCTAGCAGTGAGGCTGCAGAAATTAAACTTCTCTTGTGTGCCAACTGCCAAGCATATAGGACAACTACGGTGGCTGATGCAAAAAATGCAAAATATGGGAAAAAGCGAACTTCTGTCTAGAGCTAGTGTTTGATTTGTCCATTGTAGGCCACTGTAGAAACAACATGGTGGACTCCATGGAAGAGGACCCGCTCACCGCTTTGAGTGGTGCATCTAACAAGAAGACACTAAAACCTGATATTTACCTTAAATACTTTTGATATTTTCTCAGTCTACTATTGAAGCCGGTGGACAGTCTGACATCTTTGACCAGTTATCAATTGGAATACATAAAAAGGAAACTATTCAATGTTGCATGAAGAACAAGGTCAACAAAACACGTGCAGGTACTATAGGTGTTTTATAATGCTGTTGAAGTGTTTATCTACTGAAGATGTTTCTGTCAACTGTTCTTTCTACATACTGCAGCTAAATAAAGTTCCTATATCTTCTTGATCCTTTCATTTCAGAGGTTTGTCTGATGTTACCTCAAAGCTTCACCCACTAAGTCACTGAAATACACTTGGACTCCTGAATATCAGAACAGATTGATTTTTTTTGGGGGAGAAAACTTACATGATCAAAGTTTATGAAAGACAGTGGAAACCCTAACGAGCTCTGCAAAGAGACTCATTAAACGTGAAATGTTCAACTATGATTTATCACACACACACACACTCACACAAGGTAAACACAGCAAGCTGTTCTTGTTGAATGCGGGATTTGGGGGAAAGCGGATGTCTCGCACATTTGTGGATACACACAGCGAAGAGTTGTACACCTGCAGCCACTGTGGCTCAGAAGCAGCCTTGTATTATGATCAACAGCATTTAATTAGCAGAATTCAACAGAATGTAACGACACATGAGAGCACGTCATGCTGATTAAATGGACTGCACTGAACAACCAAGTGTACAAATTTACAATTTGTGTCTGTGCACATGAAAAGTAGTGTATATACAAAATTTGTGACATTACCCAGAAGCTCCATGGCGTCGTCCTCGTCCTCCATCTCTTCTTCTGCGACAGAGGGGGCGGGGCTATGGACTGAATCAAAGGAGTCCTGGGACAACATGGCCGCCAGGAGCTTCTTGTGATGCTGCTGCTGCTCCTTTAGCCCTTTGCTCTTTGTTTCCATCTTCAAGCTGAGGAGGCAAACAGAAGAGGTGAGGAGGAGATAAAAGACTTTCCCACTGGATAACTATTTACTGACACATATTAACCAGAGGTGGAAGAAGTATTCACAATCACATCCTATCAGTCATATTTTACCTATGTTAAAGAAGCAATAATATAATGTAAAATAAAAAGTCCTGCATTCAAAATCTTACTGAAGCAGGACAAAAGTGTTACCATTGAAATATACTTAAAGTACAAAAAGTAAAAGTACTCGAGAACGGTCCATTTCAGAGACAGGTATATTATATATTTCATTATAATTATTGATGTATTCATGTGCACGTCACTTTAATGACGCAGCTAATAAACGTGGAGCTAATGTTAATCATTCTACACACTGCTGGGTAACTTAAAGTTCTAGTGCGTAGGATTCAGTGGCATCTAGTGGTGAGGTTGCAGATTGCAACCAAGTGATGATTTCCCCATGTGCCAAGCATGTCAGAGAATTACAGTGGCTGAATCCAAAACGCAAATGGTCCTATCTGGAGCTAGTGTCTGGTTTGTCCATTCTGGGCTACTGTAGGGACAACATGGCGGACTCTGTGGAAGAGGACCCACTCTGTATGTAGATATAAACAGTTCATTCTAAGGTGACAAAAACACAGTGACTCCTAGTTTCAGGTGAATATATATTAAAGAGAACATACTTATGAAGCTCAGCATAAGTTCAATCAGAAAGATTTTCTCTGTGCTCATCCATTCATAACTCTCTCCCTCCTACTCTCACCGCTGCCTCAAATTAGCTATCCAATCAAACTTCGCCACAATCTCTATCAGCCAATCAGGATGCTACAGCAGAATTTTAAATCTGCTCTCCTCTGCTGCCGTCAGCTGTCATTTAAGGCAGAACTGTTGAGCCCTCCTCCACCCCGTTCACCTCCAGCCATCGTATCCAGAGTCTAGGACAAGCTCAACAAATGCCTATTCCTCTCCACATCATCATCTCTACCACCACCTTTGTCTAGACCCCAGTGGGGCTTTTCTATTCCACTATTGATTCATTACCCTCCTTAAAAATATATCATCTTGTTGGGGTCGAATCGACAAAAACTGTTTAATTTTTTTTATTCTTATGTGAACAAGTAAATAAATATTAGTTTAACAAACAAAGAGAGAGAGAGAGTCTCTCCTGATTGAAATTATATTAGATTCAATTTCAGCCAATATATCCCCCTAAATCTGACACACTGGCCACTTAACACATAATTTCATTTATATTTTGTATCAGTAATCTAAATTTGCAAAGTAATTAGTAACTAAAGTTTTAAAATAAATAAAGTGGGGTAAAAAATACAATATTTGTCCCTGAAATGTTGTGAAGTATAAAGTAGCATAAAATGGACACACTCAAGTAAAGTATAAGTGCCTCAAAATTCTGCTTGAAGATAAACTATGCAGGAATTTCACAAAAAAAAATAAAAATGTACGTACAGACTCTACATACAAACTTAGTCCTTTATAATCATCACTTGTGACCCACTAGAAGTGTATGTGCGGGATATTCCTGGGCATAGCTCATCGATGAGGTCAGGATGTTAATAAAAAGTGGCAACCAGGTGCCACACTATGCGGACAAAGCACAGAAAAAATGCAAACATAGCAAATCTGGGGCTGGCTCTCACTTGTGATGCTGTTTACAAACAGCAGCCGACACTTTCTGCATAATATACCTTTAACATACATCAGTTGTTGCTGGTTATTTTCCACACACAGCCTCTAACCTTTATAAAGAACATGAAAGTTGAATGTGATATGAGTCTGAATCATCATCAGCAATAACATGCTTTCAGCTACTGAGAAATATAGCTGCAAAACTGGCATGTTTTATAATAACTGCGCTCCTATAGTATAATTACTATAGGGGCAGGGTTATTATAAAACATGCCTCTCATGGGTTTCTGTCAGGCTCGTATCTACGCAGGATAAAATGTTGCATTTCCCTCGGTGGTGGGCAAATGTGTGACTCCATTTAAAGCGTGCTTCCCCACTTGTTGCATTTGGCAGCTCTTCCACGGTTGTTAGGGACAAAATAACATACAATCATTTCAAGTGCCACACAGGTGCAGAACACCTTGCTATAAACGGTTCACAGGGAGAAGATAAGAAGGGATAATTGCTGTGAGGTGAGCAACAGTGGGAAAAAAGAAGGTCTGAGCTGAGGAGGTTTTACAGCATGTAGAAGGATATGAGGTGTTCAAATGTCTCATGTAGTTTTTAAGTTAAGAGTATTGAACAAAGATGGAAGGGTGATACACAAGGGGAGGATTTAGTTACTGATTTAATCTTATAGTCAGTGAAGGAAAGCACAGGGAAAAGCAGAAATATAAAGTTATGTAAGTCTGATTCACTTATAAAAAACAAGAATTCTGCTTTTCCCATGCCAACATTTACAATACATACTGCACTGTAGGCGTTCATAAACATAAGCAACAGGACGCAGCTATGGAAACTATTTCTCTGCATTATTCATTTGCGTCACACCTCGCCGCTGCACTCACAGCACTATATAAGCTTTACAGTCCCCAGGCTGCCTCCCGGGCTGTTTTCAAATTAAAATCAATACATGAATAGAAAGAAATCAAATGCTTCTCTTCACATTTCTTTTCCCAACAGCTTTACTCATTTCTCAGGAGACACAGTGTTACCTGGAACACTGGAGGACGGCTGAAAAATTACAAATAACATCTCTTTCCTATAGAATTAAAGCTTCTGATACAATTACAAAAGCCAGATTCTGAATTACCTCTATATCGGAGAAATTAATTTCCACATCCCCCAGACTGAGGGCGTGGATTAGACGAGCGGAAGAGTATTAATCTGATGCTAATCTCAGTTTAATGACTTCTATTTACAGATAATGAGGAAGGGTCATACAATGACAGATACTTCTTCCGCCTGTCTGTATGGCATGTCTGTGATAATTAGATCTGCTAACACGGGGAAGGCAAAGTGGCCGGTGTGAGTCTGGACAACTGTTTTCTTCTTTTATTTAACCACAGGCTTTGGGGAAAAAGGTGTCCTACATTTGTAAACAAACATTTTAAACTGGAAGGCACGCAGTGTCGCAGAGAGAGTAAGCTGAGGACGACAAATGTTATATTAAAAGCAGGGAAGTAATATAAGGAAGAAAAATAGAGAGAACGAAGGTGTTTGTTTTATTACTTTTACATGTCGCACCATATTATTGGCTCGTATCTCCTATGGAAATCTCCGGCTCGCTACGCTTGCTGGCAGCTTCACCAGTGTCAGCAATTTTTCCCAACCTCAGCTGGTGCAACATTAAAAATGATAAATATCAACACAAAATCAAAGCAGGTGTCGCTGGCCATCATGACCTTTCCCTGTTAATATAATGTACAATAAGAGATCAGAATCTGTTGGTGTTGAGAGAAGGTACTGTATATAAGAGAAAAATAAAACAGGAGGCTAAGAAGAGAGAGGAGTTTATGGCACTGACAGACGTGGGATAAGGGAGCCCCATTGCACAGGACAGACTCTGTCAAAATAAGCCATTTCCTTGAATATACTTCTGCCACAGTTGCATCTGATTTCCCATGTGCCCCTTGCACTTATCCATCTAGACTTTGCAGCCAATCATACAGAGAGCCGCCACCACCGACTGTCAGCTCTCCTTACGGTCCTCAGTGACAGGTGGGCTGGAATGAGGGACAGGAGCGAGGAGTCTGAAAATGAAAACAAGTAAACTTACCAAAGTAAGAGGGGGAAGATGGACTGGTTTGACAAATAAGGTCAGCTACATGAGAAAATGTGGGGACTCTAGTCAGAAAATGTACGAGTATCAGAGGGGATGGCCTACTAAGGCTCAGATGGGATTTTAAAAGCAGGCAGTGCTGGTCTGCGCTGCCAATTTTCCACTTGCTCAGAGTTATTTTGAGTTTTTCTGATGCAAATTAACCAAAACAAATCTTACTTTTAACTGGATCTTAAATTCACTGGTTAAGATGCTATGCCTTAGACAAAATCGAGACAACAGCACCAGGGTTCCTACACATTTTACTTTTCAATATTCCATGCTTTTCCAGATTTGACTTTCCTAACTTCTCAGTAGATTTTTCAAACCATATTTGACATCCGAGTACGAATAGCTAGAAGTTTTTCAAGTCAAATCCAACTGTTAACTGTCTGGAAACAGCTGGAAACATTCCTCAGAGACTTTGGTCCATATTAACATGATAGCATCACACAGTTGCTGCAGATTTGTCAGCTGCACATCCATGATGTGAATCTCCCGTTCCACCACATCCCAAAGGTGCTCTATTGGATTGAGATCTGGTGACTGTGGAGGCCATTGGAGTACAGTGACCTCATTGTCATGTTCAAGAAACCAGTTTGAGATGATCTGAGCTTTGTGACATGGTGCGTTATCCTGCTGGAAGTAGCCATCAGAAGATGGGTACACTGTGGTCATAAAGGGATGGACACGATCAGCAACAATACTCAGGTAGGCTGTGGTGTTTAAACCATGCTCAGTTGGTACTAAGGGGCCCAAAGTGTGCTAAGAAAATATCCCCCACACCATTACACCACCACCACCAGCCTGAACCGTTGATACAAGGCAGGATGGAATGTTTTTCCAGTCCTCTATTGGCAAATTTTGGTGAGCAGGTGAACAGGTACACATAATGAAGTAGCGGGTGAGTGTACATAACTATGCAATTCAAAGATATTGCTGCATTTTCTTTCAAACTAGTTTGGTCGTGCGTGTCTGGATTTGAAACACTTATAAGGCAACCGTGGCAGAGCTGTTTGCAATCAGTGACGTACAGCAGTAGAGGCAGCTCTGCGTAGGAGTGTGTGTTCAGTTGCCTGCCATACTTCTTGCCTTGCTTTCCATGACATCAAACTCACTCTTGCCCGCACTTTTCTTTTCATGTTCTCTTTTCCTTTTTTCATACTTATCCAGACCTGGTAATTACTAAACTCAGACTTCCTCCAATTTTTAGCCCATATTTTTTTTCATTTAAACAAACTGGCACCATTAACAGTATGCCAAAATAACTATTAGCGGGGCTTGTTTGCAATGCAGTTATAGATTTATCTACAACTATCACTGGTTTATTGTGATACTGGAGAAAAAGTGATGATTCTCAGGCAAAGTCTGGAGTTACAGGAGCATCTTCTGTTCTGATTTCTACCCAGACATTTATTCGCAACGTGGGCAAAATTGCCAGCCAAAGTACAATGACAAACCTCACATTGTTTTGCTGCTAGAATGTATCTGTCCCTTTTACCTCATGCAGTATCTTTGCCACACACCTTTCCCGCCTGCAGAGACAAAAAACAAATGTATTTATGTTTTCTGATCTCCCTATTTTTGACTTTGTGGCTTGGCTGGGAAACAGCTCAGAGGATATGAAAGTGATCTCAATCCCTAAACAGGATCCGAAGTGGGAGCAAGTTCCCAGTAAATGCAATTAAGAGTTGATATAAATGATCCATCAGATGAGCCAAACACTCCTACAGTTAACAAGGGGTTGTGAATATTTTGGGACGCTGCAGCACCCCAAACAGACAGCTGCACAAGTTTCTCTTCATAGGTAAACACGAAACCATCTCATTTACAAACACACACAGAGTGGAGCTCATCAGTGAGCCCACACACACACCCCTATCTCCCAGCTCAGACTTCAAACTAAGTGATTTCTCCCTATAATCCACCCATACAGTAACCTAATGAGATTAACACAGTGTGTATGTCAGCTCAGGCCCGCGCATGATTTATGGTCTTATATCCGATCCTCCTCTAATTAGTCACATCAGTAACTGCAGTGCACGTGACACAGACAAGCACGCACGCACGCACACACACAGAAACAGTAACATCTGGCAGGGATGCCCAAAAGGTGCCAGGCTATTTGAAACTTTGATAGTTTTGCTAACACATGAATGAAAAAACAGAGGGTGAAAAAAGCTTCCTGAGAGGGTGACAACCAATTTAAGAGTTTAACGCATGACGCAAATATATTGTCAAAAGCGGGCCATTTTTAAAATAACAAGCACAAAATTCCTTTGGCCTTGAGCGCACAGAAATGAGGTTAGCTTTAATTCGAAATTGGGTTGAAGCAGTATCATGGCAAGCATGTTTAATCGCGCCTTTGAAATGGGATTATCAACCCCATTCAGATGGGCATTCCTCAGGCAGCAGGAGCCACAGTTAGAAGTCTACCTCCTCATTTTTAAAGAGCCAACAATAGCTTTGTGAACTTTCTCCAAGTTTTAAACTTCTTTTTTTTTCTCCATTCAAATGATTCACACACGCACACACACACACATATCTATGACTGCACATACTTATAATGCCAATCACCAACCTCCCAGCAGGGCTGCTGTCTCCACTCCAGCACACTTCGGTTTTAGCCCGAGGGATGGGGGGTTGCAGCATCTCAGAAGCCAGTGGGTCTGCGTCCTCGTCTTCCCGACCAATCCACTCCCCCACCACCCGCGGGCGCAGCACTGAGTTATAGCCTCCTAAGTTCTAAAAGAGCAATATAGAAATAATAAGAGACAAAACAACACTGAAGAGGGCAGACAGAAGGACGAAGACGCAGATTTATCTTTAAAAATACTGCTATAAAACTTCATCTAACACCATGAACTTTTAACTACAATGTATTTAAATTATAACTAAGACTGCTCTTCACAAAAGCCAAAATAAAATCAAAAAGCACCACAGTACTGTCTGAGATGTCTCCCTCCCAATCTGCTCCCAAAGCCAGCCAGCACACATTTACAACCCCGCTCAAAGATGTGTCTGCTTGTCTTTGACTAAATCCAGGATAGCATCAAATGCCATTGTCTCTGCATGATCAGAACAGGTGTTTAGTATTCATTCACTGTCCCGTCCCGCAGAGCAAGAAGGAAAATCTCTGGGCTGAGAGCCAAGGACGTTGGACATGCAACTGCTGCACTGAGTAAAAAGTGAAGTCCCTGTCAAAACATATGTGGCGTTTCTCATCCAGACCCATCATTTCCAAATCGCTCTGTGCATCTCCAGCCTGGGCAGCCGCTGCACTATTGTGCTTGGGAGAGAATTGGGGCCAGGCGAGGACAAAGACGGAGCTCAGACAGAGCTTTGCGTGTAAGATGCACAGTGAAGCAGCGAGGGAGAGGGAGACGGAGGACATGTTCACTGAAGTATCACTCTCGCATATCACTCCCATGAGACGGCAGTTCATCGTCAGAAACAGAGCTGTGCTGCTCTGTCAGCCGAGTGAAAGTTAAGAAACATGGCTTTCATTTGATGTAGCATGAGCAGTGCTGCAGAGTGATCAGTGACACATCGCTGTACTGCCAGTGTACTGTATATGTGAGTGTATAAAGACTCCAGTCTAGTTGTTATCTACCTGGTCGAGCTCATCGGAGATGGCAATGCCTGCAGAGAGAAGAAAATGCTTTAAAGCACAGAGAAGTATCTAATACAGTTCAAAATCCGAGCTTAGACTGCGTCTGAGCTTAGTGGCGGGCTTGTAAGATTAGCTGCTCAATCCGGTTTCCTGTCAGGATTTACAGTGACATTTACAGAAAGGGCTACGCTTAAGTTGTATATGTTAAGATGTATTAAACACTGCTCAGTGTGGTGTGAGCGTGCAATTCGCCGAGCTACGGCCACTCACTGCGTGACAGACTCTCCAGGGCCTTGCCCAGCTTCTTGCTCTCCTGCAGGATGTGGTTAAGCTCGTCAAAGTCCCGGCTCTCCCTCCAGTCCCAGGATGGGTACTCAATGGACCGTGGCACTGGATAGAAACACAAACATGATTTTTTTTTAAAATCAGATCCTCTTAAAAGCATCACAGATAAATAAATCAGAACAGGGCAGGGCAACAGGACCACACGAGCTACGCGGCCTTCACAGACTCTAAGAGGCTGATCTGCGATACAGCCAAGAATCAGGTTGCCATGAACTCCACCATCACAGTTTTTGATGCTGAACACCTGATTGGGCGCAGGTTTAAGGACACAGTGGTGCAGTCAGATATGAAGCAGAGCAGCAGGTAATGGCTCCAGACTTTGGGCGGATAAAGGGATGGAATCTTTTGGATTTCTTCAAATAAGACACTCCGTACAGACACATGCAGATATGTTAAGTAGCGTCTAATTTAACTATATCTTTATCTTCCTGTTGACTATGGAGGGAGTGATGAAAAAGAATCTGATGACCCACTTATGCAGAGGACTTCAACAGAATGTAACAGGAAACACCATGGAAACGAAACAGAAATGGGAGTTATAAATAAATAATTATTACCGCAGATGAAATGTCATGTCGTGAAGACCACAAGCAAACAAGCAGCTCTACCTGGAGGGAGTTTAAAAGGAAACTAAAAGGAGAGAATTTAAGATTCCTCAGCAGCACCTTGAGTTGTGAGGCAATGTGGGAAGATTGGCGACCGTACCCACATTTTTTGGGAATGTCCCAAATTGGATAAATATTAGAGTGACATTCGTCAGGGCCTTTGTAAAACCAGACCCTACCCACTCCCACTCCGTCGTGCTGTCACTGCGTTTGTAGTCACCTTCGCAGCTGAATGAAGCTCCCTACATTACTTTGTAGGGGGTAAACACAGCAGCAAGCTTTGGGACACACTTCTCTTTCTGCAGCAGAAAGAGGAACTGTCGTAAATATAAAACTTTCTCCCATTTCATATTGTTTGTATGTATTTGCAGCACTTATATTTAACCTGTATGTGCTGCTATTGTTCATTCTATTTGTTGTATATTATGTTTTATAAATAAATAAATTGACAAATTGATATACATTAAAATAAAACATTCTCATAAGCTTCTTTGAAAACATTTTTCTTTTTTTTTTCCTGGTAAACATCTTTTGGCTTTCCACTATGATGTTTTAAAGCTGCTTGGTTTTTGTAACAGTTCTTGTAAATATACAGCACTACAATCAAATGAAGACGACTGCTTTCTAGAAAATAGAGAAGGATATATTTTAGCCTTTATACAATGTAAGCTTTAAGATGTTAACGTCTATAAATGTCTCTTAGTTTGAGCAGTTTACGTTTGTAAGGGTAGTCACAGAACTTTATTTGCACGGAGCGTCTTCCATGACGAACACAATGCAGAGTTGTACGTGGTCAATAAGGCGGCATCGGTGCAGGCTCGCTGTCGGGGGGTTTTATAACTCACTTCCACTGCTCACTAGTTAGTTTGGGATGGCACTCGGTGTGATGGCAAAAAAGGAGTCAAAGTGGATAGGGAAAGGGTGTAGGGGATGGTTTGGGAAAGGCCTGCAGAGATCAAGCAAATCATGGGGATAGATCTTCCTCTAGAACCAGCATGCTTTATACTGGGAGACTGTGTAGTGTATATCTGATGGAAAGCATAACAGCCAACCTCCACATAAGGACCGGTGTTTACAACATTAAATAGACACCTGTAATAGTACAGCTGATGAGACTGATTAAGGACATAATGTCTCATGAACCCCAGTGGAGAAGAAATCGACTGGTACCATCCACATCTAATTGGAGCCATGTATACAGCTGTGATTGGGTATAAGTGCATGTAGGTCCTGACCTTCCTTTCTTTATCCTCCAGAGTCTCCCTGCTGGAATTTAAGTCCCTGATTAAACATACGGGTGACAGCATGTTAGCTAGAATGAGGCTGCTTGGATGCCTGTGAACAGAATCTGAATAAGAAGTGTCCGTGCAAAGCTTCCATTTGTTATGTGATGTATCATGTTTGTTTGTTCACTGCCATATGATAACATGTGACTGAAATAGAAAATAAAGGATAAGTGCAAAAAAAAAGGAAAAAAAACAGAAATTACTCCAGGATGGAGTGAAACGGAAACACTGGCAGTAAAGTCAACATGTCTCTTCCAGCAGCACAGAGCTCACTGGACGCAGGCCAGGGGACAGTGTCTGTCAGTCTCTTTGATTAACATTCAAAATAAGTCGAAACAGGAACAGGAAATGATCCACATACTGTACTGACAGCCTGCCCACGTCCTCTCGCAGCGTCCCTCAGCATCTACTGTATGTGATGGTTAATTTATTAACTGTTAGACATTTATAAAAAGGAAAGAGTGATTTTCCTTTGAAAGGGGAGGGATTCCTTGTAGTTCATCCATATCTAACGTTCTTAAGCTCCAACATGACTGGATTTGAATTAACATGAAAAACCAGTGGGGTATGAAGAGCTGCCAAACAAATGTACTGGTTGTCCACTGCTCGCTGCCTGAACAGACATGTTAACCGGGATATAAAGGAGAGGGATTTTAGGATCATTTCATGCGTGTTTGAATGAAACACATACATGGTGACAGGTGCAGAGAGCAAGCATCACCCTCCTGTTTACACACGCGAGTAAGTAAACGCGAATATTTGACAGCACTGCTGCTACAATCTGCCATCCTCTACCCTTGTTTACTCTGACTAAGCTGCTTGGCATTGTAACAACCATAAACACAGAGCAAATGTCTCTGCCAAACGCAGACTGGAGGAAAAAAAATCTTGTTCATTACTTCCGCTCTTTCTGTCCTCCCTGTGTGTGTTGTGCTGCGGCTGCGAAGGGCTGTGCTGGATCTTAATAGGCTAGATTAAGGGTTAACGATTTGATTCCCACTGAGGCCTCTCATTAAAGCATCAGTCAGGTAGAAGTGAGACCAAAGTGCATTCACCCTTCGCCAAAGTGTACACAGAAAGAAACATCGACCTCTGTGCGTATATTTATGACGGCTGTTGTGTTCTCGCTACACTGTGCAATAATGATGAGCGGCAGTTCTTTTGATTTCAATTTTTCATGAGCTCTGCACACCAAAACACCTATGCATGTATTTTTTATATGCTTTGACTTTAAATGTAGCTTTGAAGGCTTCTTACTCTCATAACACTCCAAACTTAAGTACACCTCGATGTGCCGAGTGTCGCCTCTCCCTCTCACTTGTTTTCTTTCGCTCACTTTGTGCACTCATCCCGACACCCGTTTCCTCTTGATTGTGAGAAATGCTCAGACCGCAGCCTGAAATAGACTTGGTCTGGCAATGACAGAGCACAATGTTAAATTATTGAAGTAGTCTGCTCGCTCCATATTTGACCTAGCCTCATTGTCTCAAGCGTCATACTTCATTCGAACATCATAGCTGCGGTAATTCATTAAAACTAAGAAAAGTTAGCGCCCCGGAAATATCTTCTCATCTGCATTAATGCGAGAACTTTGTGAACAATTCATCTCCGGAGTGTGTAGCAGCGCAGCGGCAAGTATGCAGAGAGTGGCACTTTATAATGAACTCGTCTGCAGGGCTGTGGGAGGCTGGAAGGAGGACGCCGGACTATACACTGTGACTAACTTTAATTAGATATAATTATATCAAATTAAAAATGAAGATTAAAGTCAATGGAGCGTGTAATTGGGATACAACTGATACAACAGGTATCAAAACTGTGCGGCTTCATATTTTAAAGTGGAATATGTGTGTCTGTGTGTGTCTGTGTGTGTGTGTGTGTGTATGCAATCAACGTAATTCCAAAAAATATTCAGAGGGTGGAAAACTTTGCTGATGAGTACAAAAAGGGAACTTACAAGACTTGGATTCTGGTGAAGGAGGAGAGATGCTCGAAACAGCCAGGTCGCTCTTGGACTTTTTCGGTTTCTTTGGGTGAATTTGCCATGGCTTCTCATAGTTGCTGTTCTCCCTTCGAGGGTTTTTGCTCTCTGTTGGGAGAGATAGTCACAATTTCTGCTCAGAAAGCCCTGTTATGCAAATTCTAGAAAATATAAATGCAGGCCAAGTTTACTCTTCACGCTCTGTTGTCTCTCTCCGAGCCTATATGTGTCATATATACTGTGTGTATTGTGGGAGGGAGTGTGTACAAAGAAATAAGCCTCATTCTGCATGTATGTGTGTGTGCATTTTGCATGCTTGCATCTGTATGTACTGACCTGGGGAGCTCTGCGCCCACAGTGCTGCGGAGCCAGAGAGAGCTCTGTGCAGCTTGCCGGGGCTGTCTTGCTTGGTCTGCAGGTGATCAATGAGAAAAGGGATTGGATGGTCGGGAGTCTCAGTTATCAATTTGGTCATCAACTCCTACAGGAGCAGAGTAAAGCAGAGAGCAGTTAGAGGAGAGTGGCACTACAAAAGGAGTGAGAGAGTGCGGCCAGTGGAGTATCCACCAAGCTGAAGTGGAGAAAGACAATCAATCCATACAAGCATTGCGAGTCTTGTTTTGTACTTCACCATCAAGGGAGGGTATGTGAGAGGAAAGCTAACGTGGTGAGATAAGCTTCTTAACCTTAGTTTCAGGAATTTGCTACACCAAGTGTCGATATCCTAAAAAACAGGAAGCCGAGACAACAAGACAAAACTACGTCCCCAAAGATCGGAGCGCTTCCCTTCTGTGTCAATTAGAAACAAGTATGTTGGCAAGCTCCTTCAGAAAATCAGATCAGTCTGTCAAGACACAAGGACAAACAAGTAAACAAATACTACACACAGCCTTTGGTCAGTCTGTAAATTTTTAAAAATCATGTCATGAGGCAAGAACACAGACCAGTCCCTGATGTTCTAAGAAATCCACTGAACAGCTTCTGAGATACTGGGCCTGATGGAAGAACAGACAGATGTAGAGAGGAACAGACTGACTGATTTTAGTGTCAGGAATAGTTCTATTACTAAAATTACGAAAAAGACGTTATCATTTCTTTTCCACTGGGAGATAAGTGATAATTACGGGTAAGGGACTGTTCATTATTTATAGGGGAGAAGGGGGTGGTGCAAAATGAGGGAGGCATGTCAGATAATTTGTTAAGCACTGGGGAGGGACTCTTATTTTGGCTCATGAGAGGGACACACAGCTGTAAATGGTTGTGTTTTGTATGTATTTTAAATGCAATCTGGGGGGGGGGTTTTCTGGGGTTTATCAGAGGACGCTCTCCTGACAGGGACATGGTTCTTTTTGGATGTTCAAAGGACACTTAAACACTTCCATGATACATACAGACAGCTCCTTCGATGGGCCAAAAAACTCATTTTCAAAGACTGGAAGACACCAAATCCGCTTCAGAAACTGGCTGTGTGAACTTGTTTCGGTTATTCACGTGGAAAATCATCCAAAATGTAAATATAAATGGGAATAATCTTGGGATTCGCTTGTGCAATATCTGGACTCAATGAGTGCATCTGGATGTTTTCCCTTTATCCTTTATTGTTTTCTTGTTCCTGCATACTTTGATCCGTGATGGGCTGTGTCTGATAATCATGTTGATTATAGGTGTTAAGATCCCTCTTCCGCATGTGTGTGAGTGTTGGGTTGGGTTTTGGTAGGGATTTTTGTTGGGGTTTGTATGTTCATGTTGAAATACATTATCATCAATAAAAATAATTTCTAAAAAAATGCCATCTGAGCCCTAAAACCTGCAAGTGGATTTAAAAAAGGCATGTTTTCTTGAAAGTTGCAAAAATTACATCATTTATCAAAGCCAAAGATCCTTGAACACATTTTGCATGACGAATGCTTCTGTCAGGAAACAACCAAATCTAAACTTCTAATAGAGATATGTCTTCAAAATCACTTTACTCTACATGTCTCGTTTAAAATTGTGCCAAAAAATAAAACGTTTGCACTACGAGGTCCAGTTAAAACATTAAATTCGGTGCTCCTGCAGGTGTGTTAATAATTAAAAACCAAGTGTTTCTCAGCTCCAGCTTCAACTTTTTAATTCTAACTTTCAAACATTACAGGGTCAGTCTGTAAAATCAAATTACATCGACCGTCGACAGTAACCGATATCATTCCGGCTGCTGCCTCTGTTGTATATAGTTTATTTGGGAGAACAGTCATCATGCACGTTACTAATGCCGGCTGTGTTTGCGCTGTGATGTGGAGTGTGTGTGATGTGTAGGCTTATTACATTTAGTTGGGTTTGTGTGGCAGGACAGGTGGCTGTCATGCACCCATACTCTGCTGATATACGTAACACAGCTTGTGTGATGATGAAACAATTTGTAAGGAGGATTTGCATTTCGCTTAAGAAATCAGCTGTTTGTTTTAGTGATAACTCTCACTCCTGTGCTGTTTGCTCGTTTCATCGGCTCCGATACCTACACTTGGTGTGAATATCACAAAAAATTCATGGTGGAGGGAGAGGGATGCATTTTCCCCCAGTCACTCCAGGAAGCTCAAGGAAAAATATTTGTAGCATCAGAAAGGGTCAAGATAAAACCAACAATAACAAAAAGAAGAAAGTCACACCCCAGAACAGTCCCTAAATATTAATAACTTGACAATCTGGTTATCATTGGAGAGTAATTAAAGAGGATGTGAAAGGTAAAGTAATGAGAAAGTTATTTATACTGTAAGATGATTCATCAAAGGAGGTACTGAAATTGTTCATACGACTGACTCCCAATTGGACTGATGACAGAAGAGTACGGCAGAAGGTGGAAGAGAAGGAAAACACACAGGGAGTCACAGTAACAGGTGCTGAGGGTAGAGATAATCTGTCAAACGCACGATGGGAATTCAGCATTGAATGCGCTAATCATGTCATGACTAATCAGTTATATCCTAGCTCCACGCTTTGCCAGCTCAGGCACACGTCCATAACAATCAACTTAACAGCACACCAGGTAAAAATATAAAGGTAATGTGAAAAGAAATGATGTTTTCCTACAGAATACCAAAAGCTACTTTTGGCATGTGTTATTTTATTACAGCTGTAGGGAATAACTGTCTCCCTGAAGCTGATGTGGAGCGATGAGCACATGTTTGTGTGTGCTGGCATGATGGAGAATGAACTCTGTTTGACCACTTAAAGCCAGCAGGAGCAGCAGAGGCTGACTCCAGGACGGCTGCTGCAGAGAAGCGAGAAAGTCATTAGTGCACTGCAGTATATTGGCAGTAATGTATGGATAAAATGAGTGTGTGTGCGCGTGAGTACAAGCGTTACTGTGTGTGTGTTTCTGTGTGACAAGCACATCACTCATGTATGTATGTGCAGCTAAGCAGGAGCATGTAGCTCTGTGCTTTGGTGGCTGCTTTGCCCTTGTTGACATGCTCATGTATCTGCATGTGTGTGTTTCAGTGGGCAGGGAGCGCTACATGGACTCAGCCTCCGTGTGTGTTGTAGCTGGCTAGCCTTAGCTGTGCTGTGTGCTCCGAAAGCTAATCAGGTAATTGGTCCGGGGGACGTTCCTGCCCGGTCCCAGTGTCTACAGCAGCTCTGGCAACGAACAGCATGTGAATGGAAAAACAGGGAGTGTGCTGTAATGTTTCTCTGCAGACTGCAGGTCTGAAAAAGACTGGAGAACCTCAGCTGCTCCTCTGCCGGCGGGAGATAAAGCTGAAGTGATGTACAAGAGAACAATGAAGCCATTTCTGAGAAATATGAGAGAGTACTGGAAGAGAACATACAGCACGCTGTGAGTTTGGCAAAGTATCTCTGCTCACAACTACAATGGATTTCTGTGGCCTGTGACGAACAATTATAAACCACTAACGATGCTAAGATGTAAAAAGTTGTAATTACTGCTTAGTAGCTCCTGTGGGTAATTTAACTAACCTACCAACAGGAGGTCTATAAATGAAGGCTGTAATTTGGTAGATTATACAGGAAGCCAAACTAGCAGAACTCTGTTAAGTACCGCAGGGTATCCAAGTCTTAATAGTTTTTTATGGGCATGGGGTAAAGCGAAGGATGTGCAGTTCTTTTTATGGATGACTGCAGAGAGGTGATTTTCATGATTGTGTTCCCCAGTGGAAATCACACACACAGGCATGTAGAGAGAGTGGCGCAGGCAGGAGTTGGATGCATGAAGCAAACTGTGGCAAAGACAGATGGACAGATAGCGTAGAATGCTGGAGAAATGGCAGCACGTGTGAGTGCATCTGCAGTCTACCCACGTCTGTACTGTAAAACACTTGTGTGCCAACATATATTGATTGCACAGCCTGTAGAGCGTTTTGCATGAGCTGAATGAGTTTGTGCTGAATGAGCCGATGCACCCGTGTACCTTTTGCGTGTCCTTCACCATCTCCAATAACATCATAAAAAGGCAAAGAGACATGTACAGAAGTAACAGGTCCCACCATGTACGCATGGCGGATATGCATACATTATGTGTCACACATACAGCAGAACTAGGTAACCATATCTGACACCTTCACTCTCTATGGTAATGAGATGCTTTAAATAACATGAGTCATGTTTGATGAGCCCATTCTGTTTGAAGGGTAATCATATTTTCTGTAGTAAGATGTAGACTCAAATTTGGGTCAACATTTCTATATATAAGCAGACTTTAATGCTATTTGGCTTCAAGTGACTTGGATCAGCGAAACATGTTTGTTTGTGAGGGAGGTAAAGCGAGGCAGACAGTTTCAGCCGCTGCGTCAGAGCACAGGAAGCAGGCCAACAGGTGGCGTCAGCAACTGAGACATACAGTTCATATCTGTGCAGATCTGTTGTCGGGGCGAGATATCTCTGTGCCCCTGGCAGTTTGGTGAAGTGGTGGTAATTGACAAGCTGTCAGCCGGCCAAGATATACCCGTGTCCTTGGAAGCTCTCAAGGACTCCCTCCGGGGACAATGACAATCGTGATACTCACGGATGCTCCCTGCATCCCTGCAACCTAAACAAACTCCCCAAATTGAAAGTTGAAAGGAGCTGAAAAAAGGAAAGTTTAGAAGGTCGTTCAGTGTAGGACACCGGGAGAAATCCACGGAGACCCTGCTCAAGTGTCCTTATCAGTAGAACAAATCCTCCCAGCCTCACAGGGTGGTTCTTTACTCCTAACCCTGGACACTTACCTTTCTGTGAAAGTTAAAAGAGACATTTCTCTTGTGGGAAACAAAGGCGGCATGACAAAGAAGAGTGCTTGAGTGTCACCCAAAAGTTGGGAAGAAAAAACGATATTGACAGAGTTGATACAACAACATAAGCCCTGTGATGTAAGCAACCTTCCTTTCTTCCTTGTCAACCCTGGAGCTGTTGAATTTCCACCTCAGCTGTCGCAGCTTCCTGGTGAACTGTTTGAGCTATGGATGTCTGGATGTGAGGAGACACTGAGCCACCGGCACACAACACAAG